AAGACAGGAAAAAAAAACCATTCTGTGTCATTCAATAAACTGGCCTTCTTAAAGTGCACTCACATACTTATACAGAGGATATCACTGCAGAAATAATTTTAAAGGTATCTTTAATATTAAAAAATCATTAAAAAATGAATTTTCCTCTTTAAAGTACCAAATGAAGAAATTTCAGAGAAGAAACAAAATGAGACAATTTAAACCATTTGAGAACCAGCCACTGGAAATTCACAAGCTTTTGTATGTGTGTAGCTATATATGCCAGTTTATATGCCATTTGTTATATCACATCTTGTTTTCCCCATAAACTCTGTAGTAATCCAGGATTAATGCTTTGAGAACTCATTCATGAAACAAGATGTGTAAACTAACTCTTATTACAAAGACTTTTAAGTAAGGTGTCTAGAATTATAGTTTTAAATTATTTTGAACATACACTTTCCATCACCGTTCACTCAAATGTACGTTTCTCAAATGTCTCAAAAATTCCAGTTATGTAACTTTATTTAACAGAGACCTTTTGACAGCTTGACTGTAATAACTGTCACAGTAAAAATAACAAGCTTGCTTATGGATTGCTGATATTCTCTGGCTCTGTCTGTTATCTGTCAAGAGTCTGCTTTCAATTTTAATTATGTCTTCTGCATGTCGCTTTGTTAGTGCACAATAAATTCTTCTGCAGTGTTGAAGGATACTAAAAGCTAAATGTATCCTATAATGCTGTACTGGTACTGGTTTCTGCTTTATGAAACAAAACCCGACATTCGATAGAAACGCTCTCCACCTCATGGCAACTGAGTCCTACAGCTGCCGCTTGGCTACCGCGATTATCCGAACAGGGAAATGTTTCTTCCTCCGCGTTACCGAACCTGAAGCTTCGTTCGTCGCAGCTGTACTGGTTACCGAGGCCTGCGATACCTTGACGGAAGTGCCTTTCAAACCCAACTCAAGGCAACTACGCGGCGGCTCTAGGGGCACAGCAAGTCCCTCACGCTCAGGGCCGCCCCAGCTGACAGAAGCGCCCTAGGAACCCCCTCGCCGAGGGCGGCGGCTGCACTCCCGCCGCCCAAAGGAACACCAAAACCGTCCCGCTCGCCACCTCCCACAAACAGGAACCAAGACCTCTGCTGCCGCAGGCCGGGACACGGCAGAACCCCAGCCACCGGGCACCGGCGATCCTAGCCCCGCGGGTGCCGCCCCCCGGAGCCATTGGGCCTCCCCAGTGGCCCCGGCTTTCGATTGGATGCGCGACTCGTCCATCCGCAGTCGCCGGTCCCCCAAGGGAAAGCCGCAGGGTTCGTACCTGTGCGAGTTCGGGTCCCAACCGCCGCCGCGACGAGCCCGGCCCGAGTCCGTGCGTGAGCCTCGCCGGGCAGGAGGTGGCTGAGCAGCCCCCGGCGGTGCGAGAGGCGGTGAGAGCAGCAGAGACCCCTCAGCAAGCAGAGAGACCGCCACCACCCTGTCCCCTTGCCTGGCAGGTTTGACGTTTGCTGTTTTTGCTGGAAGTGACGTCACCTCGCGGGACGCGCAGGAAGCGGAAGCAGCTGTTGGGTGTTGCGGCGGTAGATTCGGTCTGTACCCGCCGGCGGTTGCAGCCGCAGCAGTCTTGAGGAGAGGTAGCGGGGCAGCCGCTTTTCGGAGTAGGTGGGGGTCCGGCAGCAGGGGCGACAGTGGGCGCGGGTGAGCGTCGGTATCGCTTTCGGGGCAGGGGCTGGCTCCGAGCCCAGAGCACTCCCTCTCCTCCTGGACTGAATCGCGGGGCGGAGCGGGGGAGGCCTGGCCTCCGCGGGTCTGGGGTTGAGCAGTGGCAGCTGGGGAGCCCGTCCCGCTCCTGCGAGTTCGGCTCGGTGCGCTGGCGCGGCTCCGGGACAGCGGTCGACGTTGCCCACGGCTGGGACACGATTTTTTTTTTTTTTCCGCCGGTGTTTTGATGGCGCCCAGGACAACCGGCCTGTGACGTGCAGCTCCTTGTGCGGTTCACTCGTTTGCAAACATGGTGTGTGTCTGGAGTGTGTCTGCGGCAGCTGGCACGGTAGCGAAGTCCACTGTTTGATGATTTTGCATCTGGGTATAAGGGTGTTCCCCTCCATCTCCCCATCCCATGTAACAGAAGAGTCACAAAATCGTAGTAAACTAGGTTGGAAGGGACCTTAAGGATCATCTGAATAACGAAAACAAGTCTTTTTCGTTAGGCATTTCAGTGTTTACAACTGTAAAATATTTCGTAATTTGCATGTTTGTGTTTTTTTTTTGTGGGGGTTGGGTGGTTTTTTTTGTGTGTTAGTTGGTGGTTTTTTTTTTTTTGACATTCATTGCCTCTTTGAATACCGTAAGCATTTTTGAGAGTTGTTCTTTATAAACTATATGTGGTTCTATATTAAAACTTTGTTATACCTGATTTTACTCTGGGTAGCCAATGTTCTGTAACTGTTCTGTCACGAATTCTTACAGGCAAAACTTATATGCCACTTTTTAGTGTACACCTTCCCAAAGTATTATTTTTCTACCTACTTAACTGTTATTTGTATGATCTCCCAAGCTGTATAGTTTGTACTAATGGCAGTTGCCAGTTTTTACATCCAGAGGCGTGGTATAGAAAGGATTGTTGATGATTTTGGGAAACAGCCTGTATGGTTAGATGAATTCCTGTGAGAGTGTCTTCTGTGAGTATTTGTGTTGCAGATTAGTGCTTCAGTTTTACAGCAGACTCTTTGAGATTTGTCTTGAGATCTGGTTAGGTTGGCAAAACCATAGGGTGGATCACTTTTTAAGGTGAGGTGGGAAAAACAGCTGCCTCAGTTTGCAAATGCTTGAGGTTGAATTGTCCCTAGCTTTTAACAAAGAGTATTGTATAGTTCTGTCACGACCCTAATGATTAAAGAGCAAGAACCTGATAATTAAATAGGAAGAAAATACTTTAAAAAGGGCAGAACACGTGTTAAGATCTTCCTTCATCTTGATGATTGTTGATTTGAGCATCATAGAGACACAAGAAGAGGAGCGGGGGAGGGAAAGGCAACCCCCGTCAAAATAAACCCATACCATTGGGAGTGCAAGGTTTAACTGTTTGGTGGTGTTGTGGGTTTTGTTGGCATTATTTTCTTTGTTTGGGGTTGTTTGGTTGGTTTGGTTTGCTTTCCCGCCCCCCCCCCCAATAGATGTGTGTGGTCGAAAATCCTTTCAGGAAGACCCACTGCTTCAGTGAATACGACCAAATAACAAGGCTGCAAACTGGAGTACCTTTCAGAGTTACGATAATGTCTTTGGAGTGTTTGGTCTGAATGTCAGGTGTCAGCAAGAAAAAATATATAAAATGCTGTATCTCAAGGATATCTCTTCCATGCTTTCTGGTAATGCCTCTTTACTGCTTGGATTGGTAGGCTTAAAGTATGTTTTGTGTCAAGAAAAGAAATTCAATGTAGACAGTGGCAGGCAATTATCTCCCAGGTTCTAAGCAGAAAATAGAGCATTAAATTTCTGTTCGAAGGCTTTATAGATGAAATCATTACTGAGGCTTTTGGGGGAAGTAAAGTAGTGGATTAAGCCAGTCACAAGCAGATCTCAAGGTTGTGATGAAGGAGAGCTGTTTTTGTGAAGTGTCTGTCTGTACTTCTGTACTTTCACTAATGTTCTCTCTCCCTCCCCCACCCTTGTTTTTTTTCTCTAAACCATTGAAAAAACAGAGTTTGGCAGTTTGCTAATAGACTTTCTAAAGTCCTGTCAGCCTGTCCAGATTACTATAATGCGAGCTCTTGGTTTTCAGTTGTGACCTAAGAGCTGGGCAGTCACCCAGTCTGTGCTTTTAAAGCCTTGTATTGGAGAAGAGCTAATTAATAGTGGCTGCTTACAAACAAATGGTTGCAAGGTAGATTACATAGGACTCATAGGCTGTCTCTAAATATAAGTGTATTTTGAAGCAATGGAGTGAGGACAGGGTTCTTTAAGGTAATTATTAGTACTGATATTTGAAGGTACTGCTGCAGGTGTTTAATTTTGCTGTCTGCCCGCCAGGTGGAGTTGCCAGTATTCCCCAGCCGCCTCTTCCATTTGAGAATTTACTAATCAGTTTTGTTTGGTATAACGTGTTAAAAGTAGGAGCTTCCTGTACTTTTGTGTTCCTTTGATAGATGTAAAATTTGTTTTGGATGATGGTGATTTTATGCTTTGCTGATTCTTTTGTTGTCGCTTTGCCCCCTTTTTTCTCCCTCCCCCCACACCCCTTTCTTGAAGTCTTCAGTTTCTTTGAAGGATAGTTCTGCAGGGAGAAAGGCACCTTCTGTAGTTTGCACCAAGTCCTTAGATGTCCTTAGAAGTCCTCTGTCCAAGTCCTTAGAAGTCCTCTTTCTTCTGCAAAGTAAAGTAAATTGAAAGTGGGTTCTCAACTTGTGTTACAATGTAGAAGTTAAACAGGGACCTTTTGATTATCATATCAATAAACTTGTACCTATTTTGAAATATTTAGGCAGTCTGCTACCCTCTTCCCCATGAACAATTTTAGATGTCTTTAATGGATCGTCTAGATACAAAAGCGTTGTCTGTGGTGAGTTGTTAGCCTGCGTTCCCATGTTTACTCATCCAAACATTGCTCTCTTGGCCAGTGAGCTTGGGGCCAGGTGAACAAAGAATAAGCAGCATTCAAAACTGAAAAATGCAAAAGCCTTTCACTGCTTGTGGGCTTTCTGCTCCATTAAAACAGAGAAGAAACTTGTTTTCACTCAGTTTTAGTGGATTTAACTGGCACTAAATTCTTTAAATGCTTCCAGATATCTTTAAAGATCTTTGATAGTTGATCGGGTTGAGGATTAGTAATTGATCCTATTTAGAATTAATGATGATGACTGATATTAGTTGGTATTGGGCTGTAGCTCTGTGCTGTACTGTAGCACTTTGGAAATGGTCATGTCTAGAAAAGAGGAGCAAAACCCTTTGAATTTCAGTGGTGACTATATTGCATTTTATAATTTTTGTGTTTGATGTTTTGTGGTTTTTTTTTTAAGGGGGAGAATTGCATTTCTTTCACAATCTAGAGAAGGATAGTATTTGGAATAATGGCAACAGGAGACCTAAAAGGAAGTATAAGAAAAATAGAGCAAGGACTTCGCTTGATAAATTATCCAAGAGATGTGGATTATACAGTGTAAGTGGTAGTGTAAATAAATTTATGCTAATATATGATGACAGCAAGATGTGTAAACAAAATATGTATAAACATTGGCATTGTACCCAGTGATGAATAAGCCAAGCATACGTCTGTGGGAAGCTGGGGGTTTGCTACATGCAAACTGGAAGATAAAAGGATGTAGTTTTGCTGTTCTGAGAATCCTTGTAATAATCATGAAGTGTATCTTCAGTGTACACTGAAGTATATTGCTATCTTGCTCATTTTTTCTTCTCTGTTTTCCTCATTTCTTTGATTAATCTCTCACCTTTATAATTTTCTCTGTAGTTGCTAGTGAATTTCATCTTGCAAGTATTGAAGAAAAAAAGCGTTGAATGTCAAGATGACAGTGCTGATGGGCTTTAGACTGGACAATGTTAAAATCATGAGAGTCACAAAAATGTTGATTTGAGCGTTTTGCAGATAACAGTAAAGACTGCTGAATGAGAGATGCCTGGGGAAAAAAAAAAAAGAAATTGAAGAGATACTTGGACATAACATACTGTCTATATTAAAACACTTTTCAAACTGTTTGAATTCGCATAATGAAATGCTTTGTTGTCTTCTGCTGTGTAAAGTACTTTTGTTTCTCAATAGGCTAGTAAAAGGTGATCCAGCTGCATTTTTACCTATCATCAGCTATTCTTTTACATCTTTTTCAACTTACATAGCAGAGCTTTTGGTAAAGTGCGATGTGGAACTCACAGCAAAGAGTGACTTGCGTTTTATTGAAGCTATTTACAAGGTATCTGTCGTTATATTCTTCGCAGAAGAAACATAGTTTAGGGTATGCCATTGTAAAAATTAAACATCTAGGATAAATTTTACTAGAAAAATAAGTTTTTTTTTGCAATGAATGTACATAGTAATTCTGTTAGGTTTTAAGATATATAGTAAATCACTGTGTGGTAAGTCTTTATATAAATTTTTATGAAAATAAAGATGGATGTTGTTCGCCAAATCTCAGTGTTGAGGCAGTGGCAGAAACAGTAACACTATTTGTGTATGTTTAGTTGTGAATAATACTGAAATGTTTAATACACAATAAGTTTTATAGAAGTTTTCTTAGAAGAAATAATCAGCAAAAAAATCACATCAAACGTCAATGATCATAATGAAAGCCATGTTAAAAAATACAGGTATTTTAAAACGCCATGCTGTGTTAATATATAAAGTCCAATATTTAACAGCTTAAAAATTGGGATAAAATACATAACTGAATGAGTATAATATTTTAACTCTTCAAAATATCCATAAGCACATTTTTATAAAAGGTAGCTTCGTGTGTTAATGAATATTAGCTTATTCAGATTAGTTTGTGCCCTGCGGAGGACAGAGACTGCTTTACAAAGAAGCTCTGTTAGAGCCTTACTTAGCCTTCTGATGTATTTGCTGAGATTAATACAACTTCTTATCATGCATTCACTTTGAGAAGTTTTGCCTTGACTTTTAAATATTAATGTCTAAAATAATTTATTTCACGAATCTTAAGAATGTGACTTAATCTTTACAAGAGTGTTGTGAACGAAGTGTTTTGGAGGAGATATGTTTAAAGTCTAGTTAGAAGGAACGGCTGAGAATATATAAATAACCAAATGTTAAAAGGTTTAACTGCTGAAGTGCAGGATGAAAGAAAAGATTGTAGAAAAAATAAGAACCTGAGCATGCCATTTCTGCAACAGATTGCATAGTGATTTTGAAAGTGAAGCAGACTCTTATTTTGTTGCAGCTTCTTCGAGATCAATTTCAATATAAACCAGTTTTAACAAAACAGCAGTTTCTTCAGTTTGGCTTTGTGGAAAGAAAAATGCAGATTGTTTGTGACATTATCAACTGTGTGGTGAAAAAGCATAAGGAATTAAGTAACTCGAATAAGGTATTGATTAAATGGTAATTGTATTATAAGTTTCTTTTGACATGCTTGATGCTGCAGATAGAAGCTGAACACTTTTTAGATGCAGCTTTGCTGATGGTTAAAATAGGGGGGAAAATTAGTATGAAGTTCTGTTGTCAGACGCTTGAGCCCTATCAAGTATATGAAAGACACGAAGCTGGTAATGCATTGTAGTATAAACAAACAAACAAAAGAATAAAAATAAATTCAGTACTTTTTAATAGAAGTGATATATTTTATTTTATTCTTCTTGACATAGTGAATATGTAATTAGACTTTGCTAGTTCATTTAAAAACAAAGCAAAGCCATCAGATACGCTAAAGTTCTGGTAATATTTCATTTAAACATGACACTTGTATACCACTGAAACAAACACATCTCAAACCTGATTATTTTCTTCATATTTGTTTTGCATTATTAAGTTATTTTTATCTGTGTCTTCTTTAATAAAAGAAATTTTGTGTCCTCATATTTTATCATTTGAGTTTGTAACAGTCTTCAGGACTGTTACTTAGACTTTCTGTATACTTAATTTGTCGCTTTTTGGGGCATAACTACCTTTTTTGTATTTGCTTGTTTTTCAACTTTGGGGCAAATTGTTTTCTGTTTATGACCAGCTTTGATGCAACCTCGTATAGACATTGAGTGTATGAATGCGGCATTCACTTCCAGATCCATTTTCTCTGTAAATTTGAGTGTTGTCATGTATTGTGTCCATGTGTCTGTATTGCCTCCCCACACTCCAGAAAATATTTCTGTGTTCCTGTATTAGAAGCGTATTATTTTCTCCTCTTCACTTTGAAGGTTAAATCCCAAGCAAGGAAAAAACCCAGATTGTTTAAATCTGAAATAAGGTCAAATTGTGATAATGTCATTACTGATATTAGTGACCGTGCTCTGAACTCCAAACAGGTATGAAAATAATTTTTATGTTATATCTAAAGGTTAATCTCGTTTGTAGCAAGTCAGACCAGTTGGGTCTTTTTTGGTTTGTTTTTTTTTTTTTGTTTGTTTCTTTTATTGGTTGTATTTGGTGTTCTTTGTTTGCTTGTTTTTTCCTTTTCCTGAAGAAGTGTGCTTGACTGAAATTATAGCTGAAATACAGAAGGTATTGCTTCTCTTGTACTGACTAGTTGATCTTAAGGTCTTGGTGGTAATGATGTAGGACTATTGTTTGCTGTTTAAATCAAATGGAGGGACAGGAATGAAAATGCAATTGGAAAAAAAAATATCCTGTTTGGTAATTAAAGTGTGTTTTATCTAACATTGCAGTGTTTTCAATGCAGCTTTCAAAACGCTTTTTGCTCTTTTGTCTGAATCTTTTAAGCAAAGATTTCGTAATGTAATCTTCCGCTTGGTTTTGGTTTTACAAGACTAATGCTTGATCTTACGTGTTATGGTACTCTTGGCCTGTGGAGGAGACCACTTTCCTAGTATTTAATGCTAAAAGGGTGCAAAGGAAAATTGTACAAAACTTTTCGGAATGTGCCCATTTAACTGTGGATGATTTCTATTTAGAAGGAAAATGCTGCTTTCAGGCCTGAGGAAAACTTAACAAAGGGAATATTTGGAATGATTTATTTTCTGGTTGTTGAATGGTGAACTGAATGTGAGTGTATTAAGAGTTCCCTAGAAGAGGAGAGTTTCAGTTTCACTAAAACATCTAGGAATCTAAGTCTTAATATGTTGTACAAAACTAGTAAATGTGAGTTTGTAATCATTAGGTAATTGTTTTATTTTGTGGCAGATAGCAATCATGGGACTTGATCTACCTGGAAAGAAAGCAGAATTTGTCTCTTATTTTTCTTTCTCTAAGGGAAGCATTCAAAGCAAACGAAACGTGGTTAGTAGTGTTATTTTGCTGACAGTTGTCAGGGAAAAGAGAAGAGTTCTAATCTTAAACTACTTAAACTTTTCTGGTTTTGAATGTTTGAGTGGCAGTGTTGATGTTTGACCTGTCTATACATATGTTAATATATAAGGTAAGATTCATACCTCTCAGACCACACTTGGAAATATAACAGCTCTTACAATAGGAGAGGACATTAATGCTTTAATTACTGTTTATGGAAGAAAATCAAGGTACACAGTGCATATGATAAAGTGCATGTGTATTTGTTTTACAGTTTTTCATGTCTATATGATTTTTTAAAATGAAAATCTCTGCTGTTGCTGTCTGTTTTGCAACCAGTTGGGATAAGGTTTTAAGATTCAAATAAATATGAAAATGATTGGCCTTTTAGGGTTGTTCAGTTGCTTGGCGATGAATTGAAATTTTTTTTTTTTTGTGTGTGTGTTTTTTTTTTATTTCCATGTTCAAAAGAAGCCTTTAGTGGAACGGCACTCAGGAAATGAAATTAGTGGTGACCTTCATCCATTACCCCTTCCAGCACAAGGAGGTAATGAAGAAGAATTGTGCCTAGATCATGATGTTGTCAAAGTTAATTGTGAACAAGTAAGAATTTCTATTTTAAGATGCTGTCAGCATGTATTCTTAACTTTTCTTACAGAACTTTTATAAAGGGATAAAGTTTTTAACATGGTAGCTGGATCCTCCTTAAATGTAACTATAGATATATAATAAATATATTGAAAAAGTTGAAAAATGTCAATTAAATTGTACTGGCCTTTCAAGAACCAGTTCTGTCAACAGTTTCTTTTAAAAGCCGAGCTCCATAGGAACATTATGGCAATTGTGAAAGAAATAATTTTCTAATGTAGCAGAATCTGATTACTGAACTTGAGGAAGGTTCCACTTGATTTCATTGATTAATTGATGAATTATGTCTGTTTTGAAATCAGAGGACATGCTCTTGTCCATATTTTCAGGTCATAGAAGATAATTCTCAGATTGAGGCCCTGAAGAGTCAGCTTGCTGATTGCCAGGAAAAGCTTCATAAACTGGATTGGATGGAAGATAAACTGCATGTTTTAGAAGAGAAACTGGAAGGAAAGGTGATTATAGATGAGAAGGACTGGAATAACTTGTTGAGTCGAGTTTTGCTTCTTGAAACAGAACTGTTGTTGCAATCCAAAAAGGTATGTTAACTTGTATTTCTATAGCAAAAATGGCCCAGACACGATGTTGTTGGCCTGTTTCTGTTCTTGCTGCCTCCTATATATGCTTTTCTTGCTATTTTTAAAAGCATGATCTGAATGGAAGTGCTGTTTATGGAGTTGGTGGTATTTTTTTTTAATTGTTAAGTTTTGCTGTTTTCTTATGCTTTGTGAAGCAAAGCTCTCCATTGGAAATTGTTTCCTTGCAGGAACAGCAGGTATAGTGAAGTCTATTTTCAATAGTAATGACTCTGTGTGTTTTATCTCCTCGTGAACTTATAGAAGGAAGCTTTTGAAAAGACTTATGCTGCCTTTGAAAGCTTAATATTTCTGTAGAGAGTTTTGTCATGCTAGTGATACATTTAAGGTTTTCCTTGTTCTGGTATGCATATTTCTCAATTTCTTATACTGTACTGCAAATGTTGCTGTTGAATATAATTTTATTTTTTTTAATTCTCCAAACTAATCAGATACAGATACTCTCTTTGGAAGATTGTCTTCATTCTGTATAACTAATGTTGACAAAAATAGATGGCATGCTTAATGCAAAATACAAGGTTAATGGAAAAGTTCTTATTTTAGTCCTCTTCTTAGTTTGTGGCTCTTTTGTAGCCCAGACCTGATGGTTTTTCTCTTTTTCTTTCACCCTCCTCTTTTTCCTCTTCCTATTCCTTGTCATGATATTTGCTGCATTTTTAAACATGTAAAAGTGCTACAGTTGTAATGTGGCTACATTGATTTGCTTTTACAAATATGCCCAAGTATTTTGTTGCATTAAGGCTTTGTTGTTTTTCATGCTATTGGAAGGTCCCTGTAGAATTGTAGAATCAACTAGTTTGGAAAACACCTATAAGCTCTAGAGGCTGGACTTGATGATCTTAAAGATTTTTTTTTTTACAACCTAATTGGTTCTATCTGTGAGTCTGTCACCATGTCCTGCCTTTACCTCAGAACTGCCAAGTCCACCACTAAACCGTGTCACTGAGGACTACACAGATTTTGAACACTTCCAGGGACAGAGTTTCTACCACCTCCCTGGGAAGACCATTCCAATACCTGGCCCTTCACCCTTTCACAATAACCAATGTAAACTTACCCTGGTGCAGCTTAAGGCCGTTACCTCTTGTCCTATCACTTACTACTTAGGATTAGAGACCAGTCACCTCCTCACTTCATCCTCCTTTCAGGTAGTTGTAGAGAGTGATAAAGTAGTTGTATGTGCATTATATAATTTTACGTATGTGCACATGTAGGTATTCTGAAATGCAGTGAACCATAGCATCAATTTTGTGATCACGTGCTTAATTTCAAAGTGTATTTGCTTAAGTATCTCATGTATATCCTTCAGATGCTGTCAGGTGCTTTCCAGAAGTTGAAAACCCTTGTAGAAAATACTTGATCAGTATTGCATTTGTCTCTGTAATTGTAAAAATTGTTGAATTTACTTGTAATTAGAAGCTCTGTGTGTGTTGCTGGCCCTGCAGATTTCAGTGTTGCTAATATATGTATGCAAGACATGTTTTTTTTTCCTGTGTTCCTTGCAAGTGTGCTAGTTATGTAAAGTCTCAAAATGAAGAAGTGTTCAGACTGGTCACTAGGTTATTTCTAAAGGCTGTACTCATATGATAAGGATTGACATTCTCAATCGCTTATGTTTTAAACACAGTTTATTGGTAACAGCTAAAGTGATTTACAATTTAAAATGAATTTTGTATGGATATTGTAATTTAATTATTAATGGTTATAAGTCCAAATAACACCACCAGTGATAATACTTTTGTCTGTCAGCAGTCTCAAAAGGCCTTCAGCTTGAATAGACATAGTTTTGCTCTTGGGTGGAAGTGTGTTCTCCAAGAGATACTTGTTGCTTTTATGAGGTAGGAGCACAGGAAAGTCTGTTTCAGACTAGGCTTGTTATTTTCTGTAAATTTGGTTTATTATTACTTCAGTAGCAGTTTATGTCAGTTGTTCAGAGGTTTGGAATAGCATTTGGAAAATATTTACAAAATACTTAACTTTAATACCACTTTAAAAATTCCAGTAAGGTAATTGTATTTCTGTACTGCATGTTACTGAAAGAAGTCACTGCTGAAAGAATTTTGAATGTAATTTGTGTAGCATTGTTGCTTGTCCTTTTTTCAAAGCAAAATAAGCTGGCTTTTATATGTTAAAAAAAAAAAAGTCTTCAAAACCTAACTTTTTTTGCAATAGGCATTTGAAAACTGCCAAGAAATAATCCTTTGGCCCAGGGAATTGCTGCTTCTTTGTTTCATGAAATTCCATCCAAGTTGTGTTTCACATATAGAGAAACAATTCAGAATTACTCTTCTTCTTACTCTTGCATTTTTTTAGTTTTTATTTTTTCAGGGAATTTTTGGCACCTAGCCAGCATAGCAGGAACACTAAGATCTGTCTTGCATTGCTGCCAAAGTAGCTGCAGCTGTGCATTTGGCTCTAGGAAGGTCTGAAAGACCAAATCGATTTTGATGGAAAGAATTGAGCAGAAGTAGTCAGTGCAGATCTCTCAAATGTATCCATTATTACAATCTTTTTCCCGGCTTCTTCTCATACAATAGCTACTATTTCAACCTCATTCGCTTATTTGGATGTAATATTCCCCTGTTAGCTGGTGTAGTTACTGCAGGATATAAAGTGATATACTTTACTAAAGGCTGAGATTTCAAATCATAATGATAACTCACTGGTGAAAAAAAATCCAGATGTTGTGTGAGTGTTGGATTTTTTTTTTTATTTGAAATTAGAAAATTGCACTGCAGAACATTTATTGTTAGTACGATTTTGCTTCCTTCAACAACCCTTTCTAAGCTAGATTGAGTTAAATTTGGCACCTTTCTTAAAAGAGCCCTCTCTCATTTAGGAGCCTGGGAGACTAGCCTAAAATATACTTTTGAGTTCTAAACACTTACGTGGCATGAATTTCAGTTCATGTATAGGCTAATCTTTCTAGGACTGAGGAGCTGCATTTCTGAATATCAACTGAAAGTAGAAAGTAAGCTTATTTTGTTAAGGTAACAGCAGACAATGTCAAGATGTAATTGTTAGCACAGACCAAGAATGGTCTGATTGTTCGTTTTGCTAATAACTAAGCTATCTAACTATATTTGGACTTGGTTTTGAACTGTTTATAAACAGCAATAGTCTACTTTTCAAATGCAATGTGTGTATGCAAATGTTGGTTTTTTTTTCAGTCCTGTAAAGACAGCTGTGCAGTCCCAGCATATCTGGATGGTGTAGCAAATGCATACATTAGTACTTAAATTACTTAATTTTAGTACTTCAGTACTGAATTACGAAGTACTTAAATATACCTTTGTTTGGTCAAAAGATGATTTAAATAAAGTGTATGGCTAAAATGTAGTAAATTTTTATTTCAGAGAGAGTTACCTACAGAGTTAAGCAATATAAATCAAGAAGGTTCTTCTAGTAGGATTCCAGTTTCCCCTGGTGAGTATTAATGATTATATTTTTAATTAACATCATATGCTAAACTTTTTTGCTGACCTTAACTAAAAAAGTGTTTTTTTAAGTAGACAATTGCAATTTAGTGACCTCTGAATTTAAATGGATGCTGCAAACTAAAAGTTAACCTATCAGTCGTTTTGTGTTTGTAATTCATTCTTTAGCAGCTGTACTTACTGAAATAGTTTTTAAAGCATTATTGAAAACATGCAGTAATTAATGGTTACAAATAACTATTAAAAATCATAAAGATGCGAATTTAATTAAGGTGCTATAGTTAAAGGTGTGAAAAACCATGTTATCTGCACTTTGAAGGAGTTATAATAATGTTTTTAAGATAAGCTGTTCATAAACATGAATGATATTTGCTGCCAGAGCTTTGTTATCATGATAAATGTGACACCATTTTGATTGTTTTTTGCTTTTATAATGGCTCGGGACAAATCAGGGCCATTTCATTTACAGTCTGTGGTGATTTCCAACTCACTGCTGAATATTCTCTATAGTTTCATCCCGTTTGAAAGAGTTAGCTATCCAAGTATTATTTTTGTTGAACTCTTATTTTGAAGATCAAGACAAAATCTTTTCTTCCTTTCTAACTTTTTGCTAATGTACAAGTAGTAAATGAAACAGCCTGAAGCGAGAAAGAAATTACTTATGGCCTGGGGAATGTTTTTGATTCTTCTGTCTGCCTCAGTGGTAGCTCTTTAGCCTTTACTCTGCATCATTCTCTATTAATTTGTCCTGTTTCCTTCATGGCAGCTGTTATGCCTACAACCAGTAGTAAGGAAGATACTGTTTCCCATTCTCACTTGTTAGGTGTTTTTGTCCAGTGGTGGGTTGTTGCACTGAAACTGAAAGGGAATCTCAGTAATTCAGTTTTCATGGAAATTAGGAAGACAGTTTCTTGGTTATGGCAAGATTCATTTTAATTTTCAAGTCTCAGGAACGGGACCTTTTTACAGACCTTGGAAAGTTGCAACATCTTTACTTCCTTTCCTAACTTTAGTGGTATGTTACTGACAGTTGAGGTCTTTGTAATGAGCAAGCAGGCTGATGGTGTTTAAGAAAGAATTTTTGTATTTTCATGCTTCTGGAATTCTCTGAATTCCTATTATTCCTGCTTTTCTAAAATACGGTTCAGGAAATTTTAGGCATACAGGTTACATGGCCAGTCTTAAGTCTTCTGAGATGTACAGTACTTGAAATGCTTTCATGTTCTTTTTGGTTGTAGTGTTCTTCAGGAATAACAGTTGTACCGAAGAAACAGTTTTTAATTTTAATAAATTAGAAGTAATATAATATTATTTTAAATACAGGATAATATAGCTGGAAAAGTTCTAAAGGTATGATCCACAGATGGTGGTTCTACTAGAAGAAGAGCAAGGGATCACTTTTTTTTTTTCCAAATGCTAAATTCTGTTCTCCAGCAATAGTATTCTAAAATTGCAGAGTATCGGAGCCTTCCCAATGTAAAAAGAGAAGTCTCTTTCTGCTAAATGGATGCTAAACTTATCCCAGCAGGAAGAGAGCTAGGGAAACAGCCAGACCTTCATCCAGCTTTTAAGCAGGAAGGTGATATTATCTTTTTATTTCTGCTGCTTATAAGACAGGTTACTTAGAACAAATTATGACATGTTTGAACAGGCAGTTTACAATAAAAAGAACATAAACTATTTTAAGTTACTATTAAATGTTTGACCTAATAATTACACTTTAAGTGTTGATTTTATTGTATCAGGATAAAGGTAGCATTCCTAGTAATCTTCTTGGAATTTGCCTTATGTGTGTTATACATACTATACAGCATTTATCTTATTTTAAGCAAATGAAAAACCTATTTTAGTCTCTCACCACTAGCTTTTCTTTATCCATCTCTAAACAATGTAAATCTCTAAACTGTAAATCAAGCTTATTTGATAGCTGACCTTGCAATAAGAGAGCAAAAGGCAAAGGTGACCCAAAACCAACTGTTTCTACATAGATACAGAGAGGAAGGAAGAGATGCCAGAGTGTCTTCATCAGTTGTCTGGATACAGTTCACTATTATCCACAGACCCATCTCCCAAAGCTGTGACCATTAATTCTCATGATCTGACAGACATTTCGAAGGTAAGTAAAACTGTCAAATGCTTAGTTGATTTCTTTTCCGAGATCAAGAGAACAAGTAAGCATTAGTTTTAGTTGTATATACTACTAGTGATAAACAGGGAAGCTGCAAAACTATATCTAGTTCTGTCTCATAAAAATCTTTTTGATACGTTTTCTAATGTTTCTTTAGCAAGCAGGACTTAAAATCACATTTTCTCTATGAATTTTTAGGTTGAAAGTCCATCTGAAGAATGTTAGCTTTGAAGAGTTCACTAACTTTGTTGCTTTTAAATTGCAGGAGACAACAAGACAAAGAATGGAAAGGATAAGTAAAATGTAAGTAATAGGAAAGGGCAGCAGGATTTCATTTCCCAGGAGGCAGTTGTACTGGACTGAGGCATATAGAGAATGTACATGTGTTCCAAACCTCAAAGGTCTCTACATCAGGTGTGGCATTTCCTTATGACTCCCCTGGATAATAAATCCACTTACAGTTCTGTATTTGTGGGATGAGTCACTGTTTTGGTTTCTAAAAAGCAGTAGAAAACATTCTTAATAGTATTAACTAGAGATTAAAGAGTGTTTAGAATCTGGTTGACAAAGAATTGAAATATTGTTTATCTTCTGATAGGAAATCCCAGGTACTTGCAACTTTTCTTCCATTACCTTAACTCTGTTTTTGTTGTTTCAAGTAAAGTAAAACCAGTTTCAGCTTAAGCATTGTGATAACTCTAAGGTGTATTTGATACTAGTCCTGAGATCTGTAATGAATTTCTTTTTGTAAGAAATATTTTCATTATACTTGCAGAGAAATGCGTTGCTTGTAATGTTTCTTTAGCAAGAGATTTTCTATTCTATAAAGGCCTGGTCTCAAAAACGCTGTAGCTTTTTTTGTGATTTAATTTTATTGTGTAGCTTACTTTATGTATAGTTAAGGTTTATAGATATGTGGTAGGCATTTAAAATACAAACCAATTGCAGAGGAAAAGTGGGGATGAGTGGAAACAAGGTTTCATTATGCTTGTTAATATTTTGGGGACATTAGAAAGTTAAAGGCAAGTCAGTTATTTCTTACCATATTTTAATAAGTGTTTGCGTGTGTAAACAAAATTTATTTTCAGAATTGAAGAAACCTCAGAATTGTTGAAAACATCAAGCAGCGCCTCTGGGAAGACCTGAAAGCACAGGTCTACAGACCTGGTCTCTGTGGACTTACGGATATCAGACTTAATATGTATGTTTATACAGCATTGAATTTTTAATATATCAAATTTGTAATGATCACCAGTGGTTTTATTCCTTTGAATAAATATTTGTCTAATGCATCTGTGTATTGATTTCCCTTTCTCCAGCCTCAATTTTTGTTTTTTAAAAACTCTTCAAATATCTACCCATCCCTCTCTTGTAAAGTTAAGTCATTACAGCAGTGTATTTTTGTGTTGTCATTTGTTAGCCGTGTGCTAAGTAATATGTTTTTTAAAGTGCAGGCTTGAGGACCGTGGTTTACATCCTGTTGGAAACGTTCCAGCTGGGACTTGTGTATTACACCCAAGAGGCATTCTTGCATACCATCTTACAGTCTGTACTGCTGAATAAGTCTTAATGAAAACCTAAATACACAATTTCAAATATGTACTTTTTTTTGCTGTTGTTTGTGGGGTTTTTTGGTTTGGTTGTTTATTTTAAATATAAATTTTCATGCAGAGCTTGATAGTACCAGCACATTATGGCTTCCATTAACACTGACAAGGCGAGGGTCAGTTTGATCCTAAACACTAAAATATGCAAGTAAGTCCACAGACTTTGACTGCAGAGAGATGTGTTGAGTGTTTTAGTGCTCTTACCCAACACATTTTAAGACCAGCAGCACAGATGGAGACCATCCAGTGTACAAAGATACAAAACATTTTTATTATTTGGAGCTGTTTTAGAATTTGTTTTCAGAGATATAAGGAGATATAAGACTTGCCTAAACATTATATAATCATACCAAAGGTGTGCGAGGTTTGGTAAGATTTATTTATATATGTATTAGTCTTTGTAAATTGGTAGCCTACCATATCAAGGTTTTTTTGTGCTATAATGCTCACTTCACTTAGAAGGATTTTTGGACTTTGATATCACAAAACCAGTGGATTTTTTTTTCTTTGGCAGTTTGCAGATAAAGGCAAAAGCAGTTGTTTGACATTATGCTGTAAAAAGTTATTTATATGTTTTAACAATAATTATGATTTTTTTTCTATAACCATATGGAATATAAATTGACTTTATTATGCATACAAACAGAAGAACATATGGTGATCCATTATGTTATATAAACTTTAGTTGAGAGTTTTGGGACTTTAGCAATAGAACTTTTCCTGTTGTTTAAAAAAAATAATTTGGAAAGTTACAGAGTAAGAGCATATTATGCTCCTTAATTGAAAATAGACCTTGCAAATTGCTATTCATCATCCTAACTATGAAACAAGTTCTTTTTCTAAGTGTTAGGCTAATTCATTGGAAATATGTGATATTTTCGAAAGTAGGACTGTAGCACCATCTTGTGGAAATATTCATACAGAGTAATTGACAAAGGAGGAAAAAAGTATATTCCTGTATGTTTTTTTTTTAAGTTATTGCTTTAAACCAGTAATGATCAAATATTTTAAAATATTACCTGCCTTTATTTTTACCTCTTTTCCTTGGAAGCAAAGAGGATTTTATGTTAAGCAAGGTAATTATATTGTATTATATTTGATAATGAACCAGAGAATAATTCTGTTGTTTGTCAGTGTTATGGCAAAGATGTGAAGTGTTAGTCGATCCAGATGATTCAGGTTAAAGGGATTTAACATTGAATGCATATGGGTGATGCAGGAAAAAATAATCTTTCTGTAAGTGTGCAATTTAATACAATCTCTCTTTAGTACTGCAAAATTGAATATTTGAAGTTGTTCAACTATTTTATTCCTCCAGAAGCTTAAATGTAGTACCCCACAATGGGATTGAGCCTTTGTAATTAATGGCTTTGCTTCTGTTTTCAAGACCAAACAGGAGCTCACTTTGATCCAACTGAAGCCAAGGGTTTCTTACTGTTAGGGCAATTGCTGGTTTTCTAAACGTTAGTCCCTGACATTTGCTTTCTTTTTTTAAATTAAATTTGATTGTGGAAGGTAGTACCATCTTTTGAAGAAGAAATATAATGCATTCAAACCTTCTTTGTATGTTTGAGTTATATGTATAAATATTTAATTATTCAGTTTTATCATTGGAAACAGTTAGTACTTGTAATGGTATATGTCACAGTGAAACTTCACCGAAGTTGGGAAATACATGGCAAGACTGAAAATAGCAACAGTATTTTAATAACCACTTATGCAGTGCTACTTTGAGCATTGTCGCAACAGTTGAAAGAGTTGACATTCTATATGTGCGTGGGTGGATCTGGCTGAATGACAGGCAGATGTTAGATACCTTCAGAAACACAAATTACATAAATGCAGAGAAGATTCCTCACTACAGTTTCTATGATGTCTAGCTTTCTCCAGTGACTTGGAAAAATTCCTGTTGTTCAGATGTATGTTCTATGATTTTAAATCATTAATTGAATTACCATGGTTTCTTGAAGTTACTGAATTTAGTTATTAGTTTAAAAATCTCTAATTTTGTAGTGAAAAATTGTTTAGACAACTTTCATTTAACATCAATAGGATAATTACACTTTATATTAAGGAAAGTATTTCTGTATTATGTGGGATAATGAAGCATTATTGCATTAAAGTAGAATGCTAAAACTGAAGCTTCTATGACTATATACTTACTTTTTTATAGCAAGATTCTAAATCTAATAAAACTTACAGGATTCTCATACAGATATTTTTTCCTTCTGCTTTATGTAATGTCAGTATGTACTTTAATTTGTTTATTGGAATTACAATATGCTGTAGAAAGCGTGAGAATCTTCTCACCCCAAATCTGTAGCATTGAAAAGCAGTCTGATAACCTCTTTCAGTTACGTTTTCAGTTTGTGTATATACTGCCACGTGTTGTGGAATTCTAGTGCTCAATCATAAATATTAAGAAAATTATTGCAATTATAAATAAGAATATATTCTTTATGATGTTACTTTTTGTGTTTTCAGATCTGATACTTAAATTGTATTGTAGATCGCTCAAGTCTTGCTTTACCTAAATACGAGACAGTCTAAGTTCAGTTATGTCCTGGTGTTTATGCCTAACTTGGAATTTGTTGGCATCAGAAGCGTAACCAAAGCTCAAAGCCTTAATTACTAAGTGTGTTTTATTTCCTTATAATTATATCTGATTTTCTTATGCTTATTCTTATTCTTGGAGTTCTTTTATGTGTTTCTACCCTGCTTTAGCCTCGTATCTCATGTCAGGCTGAATTCAGTTTCTAGTTCAATAGCAATGGTGCAGAAGAAACCTGGCCTGAAAATGTTTTACTTTCTTTTAAATTTGCCTGATACAGAGTACTTGTTGTCTTGAAATCAGGTCCTCTTATGGAATTTGCAGAACTGACATCTAGACTCCGTGGAGAGGGAGGTTACTTGTTTTTCCTTCACTGTCTGTCAATGATTAGTAGAACCAACTTGTTTGAACTGTAATATAAAAATAATTTTGTTGCCTTTTTTTTTCCTGGTGATGTGATACATTTATTATAGAGTTTCAAAGAAATATACCTATGTGAAAAATGTTGCATCTGTGTTATTTTTTTTTTTTTGTTAGCTTTAGCTGCTGGTAGCATGTGGTGTTGTGACTTCAGTTTATATATACCTGAGGAGGCAGTTTTCTTTTCTCCCTGTGGAAGATCAAGTAGGTGATACTTCTTTCAAATGAGCTATATTTTAGAATTCCTTAAACTAGAGTATGATTTGGGCTGTGGAGATAGGTGTCTGGTGCCCATATGACTTCACAGCAAATTTTATGTGTTGCTGAAGTTGCTATTATAACCTGTGGTTAGAATCAGCCTATAAACCTACTGCTCATACTAAGCCAAATTTTTTTCCTAATGGCTGTTTTGCTGTTCTCCCTCCCTTTGCTCACTGGCTTTTTTGTTTGATCTATTGTATCTATTTTTATTTTGTTATAGTAGTGAAGAGCTAACATTAAGGATGGACACACTGGAGTTTGAGAAGTTCATTCTTGTCTCGTATAAGTTAGCTTTTCTGGAAAAAAAGTGAGCTTATCAAAATATATGAGAAACTGCTAATATCTGTGGAATTTACTTAGTTACTCTTTTTTGGAAATGCTTAGCATTCTTTAATAATCATTGGTGAACAGGGATTAAAACAGATTTTTCTGTCAGCTGCTTGTTTTGACATTGCAGTTAGCCATCAGTTTGAACAGTTGTAGTTTTAACATATTCTACCTTAAAATTATTTATTTGGCATTACATTTATCTTTCCAAGCACTTTATACTACCTATAATTCCTCTTTGATTTCTTTCCAGGATCTTTTTTTTTTTTTTTAACTCTCTGTGGTGACAAGTCTCAGTTGTTCACTTGTAATCCTCAGGCAGCAAAAAATTCTTATTTAGGAAACGTATTAAATCTGCAAAAATTATTTCATGATAGTATGTTGCTTTTGTGTTATTTAGGCAGATTTCTGTGTGATAGAGGTCTGTGTTGTGTTCTGTGTAGGATACTTACGATGATGCAGTCCATCAGCTATGTCATTTGAGTAGTTGATACAAGGATAGTGGTTAAAACACTTCTGACTTAAGATCCAAATGCGGGGAAGTCATCACACTAAAATAGCGATATTCCTTCCCTCAAGCATCTTGCAGTTTATTTCATGAGGTGTAGTAAGCTTAGTAGCTCTGTTTATGCAGTGTGACTTACAAAACTCATCCTGCATAGACTCTTCTCAGAGCTGATTTGGAAGTAGTAACACTTTTTACTATCTGGGAGAAAACTGCTCTACTTATAGGTGCATAACAGGAAGCAGTAGTGTGGAGCACTGGTGTTCAGTACAGCTATGTGTGTTGGTTTTCCTTACCCTTTATCTTTCCAGTTATTGTAAAGGAAGCTTCATATGCCATAAAGCAAAGTAATTTCTGATGACAGCAGCAGATACTTCATTTTGCCAATGTTAGATT